AGACCATACATAGTCTTCTGTGTCAGACCCGAATTTGCATTATACTGAGAGACTTATTAACACATTTTATGAGCCCAAAGTTTTAGTCTACATATGTATAAGGTAGAAATTTGAGACCTACCTTAGATAATTGTTATAAAAATTAAATTAGAATATTTCATATAGACGTATAGTTGGTCAATAAAATTTTTTTTGATATATGTTCAGGTTCTATTCTTGAAATAGCAAGATTTTTAATGCAGTTTCTAAAATTTTTCTGTTATCACCTATGTTTTCTCTTTTGCATTAAAAAAATCTGTTGTAGCATTGGTTATCTATTAAATTACGTGTTTACTAAATGCTCCTTATCACCTTGAAAAGTGAAAATACTCAAGCTACTAGAACAAGGAGTAGCAGGTAGCAAAAATACACTTCAGATCATAAGTGTTATAAATTAATAGAAAAACTTTCTGTCACATAGGTTTTATTTATTATTTAAATTTTTACAACATTGTTCTCTTTGTTTTGTTTAAAGATTTATTTACTTATGCTTACAGAACTGGGGTACAGGCTAGAGGTGTGGAGGGTGAGAGGATTCACCAGAGACAGAGTGGGGAATAGAACAGGCAGATCTCTTTTTTTAAAACAATATTTGTTTTCTTTTCTCAGGTATGGTCCCCATAGAATTTCCATCACCAGTTCACCCATGAACCATCACCATAGTCCCTTGTGCTCTTTCTCTCGTTTTGATCCCTTTCCCTGCAGAATGTCTCTGGTTTATACTTATCTGTTTATTTTTTTTTGTTTTGTTTTGTTACATTTTTTATTGTTGCTGTTTTTTCCTCTAATGCCTTATTTGGCTCCCCTATATTCTACCTGTAAATGAAATAATTGATATTTTTCTTTCTCCTTCTGACTTATTTCACTGGGCATCATCCCTTCTAGCTTTATTCATGTTGCTGCGAATGGCGTGAGTTTATATTTTTTGATTTCTGAATAGTATTACATTGTGTGTATGTACCACATCTTCTTGACCCAGTCATCTATTTTTGGGTGCTTGTGTTGTTTCCAAGTCTTGCTATTATAAATGGTGCTGCAATAAACATAGGGGTACAGGTATTTGTTTGAATTAGTGTTTTTTGTGTCCTTTGGGTATATCCCTGGTAGTAGAATTGCTGGGTCATATGCTCAAGTTTCAGTAGCTTTTTCATAGTGGTTTGGACCAATTTGCATTCCTACCAACAGTATAGGAGAGTTCCCTTTTCACTACATTCTTGCCAACATTTGTTGTTATAGTTTTTTTAATAAGTGCCATTCTTTTTTTTTTAATGACATTGTGCTAACATTTTTTTTTAAGATTGATTTATTTATGCATATAGAACTGGGGTACAGGCCAGAGGTGCAGGGGCAGTGAGAGGATTTACCAGAAAGAGTGGGGAGCAGAAAAGGCATATTGATGAGGTACACTGCTGAGGGGTACAGTAGGTGAGACAGGAGAGGTCTGCTACCACATGTGGGTTACCTCCAGGACCAGGGCTCGAACTCTCACTGAAGCATCTGTGGCTAGCTTGTAGTGCTGTGTCCTAACCCGTTGTGCCACTGGCGAGGGCCCAGTAAGTGCCATTCTTAATGATATAAGGTGATATCTCATTGTGGTTTTGATTTTTATTTCCCTAATTATGAGGGATGTTGAACATTTTTTCATATGCCAGTTAGCTATTTGCGTTTTCTCTTTGGGGAAGTGTCTTAAAAAGTTCTCTCCATTTTTTTTCATCGCATTGTTTACTTTGTTTTTGTTGAGTCCTTTGAGTTCTTTATGTATCTTTGCAATCAGGCCCTTATCAGTTGTATGGAGCGAAAGTTTTCTCCCAGTCAATAGGGTGTCTCTTTGTTTTGATTAATGTCTCTTTTGCTGTACAGAGATTTTTGATGTAATCCCAGCTATTTTTTTTTTTACACTGCCTGTTGGAATCCCAGCTATTTATCTTTTCCTTCATTTTCTTTGCTTTGGGGGATGAGTCTTTAAAGATGTTACTGAGATATATGTCTTGTAGTGTTTTATCTATATTTCCTTATATGTATTTTTTGGTTTCAGGTCTAATGTACAGCTCTTTTATCCATTTTGAGTTGATTTCTGTGCATAGCATTTAGTGATCTAGTTTCATTCTTTTGTTTATGGTGGCCCAGTTTTCCCAGAACTTTTTATTGAACATACTTTCCTTATTCCATTGCAAATTCTTTGCTTCTTTATTAAAGATTAGTTGTCCATATATATGTGGCTTTATTTCTGGGCTTTCTGTTCAGTTCCTTTGGTCTGTATGTCTCTCTCTCT